GGACTGCCAAAAGAACCAATAGATCTGTTTTGGAAGAAGTGCAGCCAGAGTGCTCCTTGGAGGCCAGGATGGCTAAGCTTCATCTCTCCTACTTTGGACATATTGTCCGGAGGTAACAATCGTTGGAGAAGGATGTCATGCTGGGTAGGGTGGAGGTTTAGAGAAAAAGAGGAGGACCCCCAATGAGATGGATCAGCCAGGTGGCATCATTGATGAACTAAAGTGTGGCAGCAGTAGTGAGGTTGGCCCAGGATCGAACATTGTTTCATTCTGCTGTGCATGGGGTCGGTATGAGTCCGTTCCAACTCAATGGCACCTGACAACAACAACAACAACATGGATGCATAGGCAGACATGCAAGTTGCATAATAGGGGTATGTGCTCGGGATTACAACCTCAAGCTTATATCAGTTTGGCAGAAGATATTTCCACATATGTATTTTTATGTTCTATAAATGTACCCATGTATATATTAGACAAAACAATGACAGAGGTATAAAAACATCTTAACTATAACCAAGCACCTTGTGGGACTGACTCACTGGGCTTCTAGGATCACAGTTCCAGGGGACACTAAGACAACTGGCACAACATAGTTTACAAAGACAATGTTTTACATACTACTTTGGTGAGTAGTGACTGGGGTCTTAAAAATTTGTGAGTAATCATCTAAGATGAAACTATTGGTCTATTTCTGACCAAAGCTAAAAAGAGTGAAGAAAATCAAAGGCATAAAGAAATCCATCATTAGTCCAAAGCATCACATGAATCTCAGCCTCCAATACCTGAGACCAGAACAATACCTGAGACCACTACTGACAGCTCTGATTGGGACCACAGAAGGTCCTCTGCATCATGGAATAAAATGTAGAACAAAATTAAAAATAATAATAGATTAGACTTACAGGTCTGATAAAGACTAGTGGAACCCCTTAGACTGTGGCCTTTAGACATTCTTCAAACTTGGAACTGAACCTATCCCTGAATCACTTTGTGGCCAAACAATAGACAAGCCCATAAAGTGAACAATAACAGTTGTGAGAAACTTACTCCTCAGAGACAAAAAGAGCAGCATTTGCCTCTGAACATGGCTCAGAAGGCAAGAAAGAAGGGTGAATGGATAAGTTCAGGGAGGAAATAGGAAGAGTGCTGTTATGAAACAAACGGAATGGAAAATGAATGTGCTCTGTAAACTTTCATCCATACCACAATAAAACAAAAACAAAGGAAATTCTTCTGATCCCTAATTTTATAGGAAGTTAGCTCCTGGGTGCCAGCAACCCTACTACCTTCTCTTATACAAAACCTTGTCAAGTAAGCAGATTCCATTCACCTCCCAAACATGCAAAATAATTTAAGAGAAAGGGCCTGTTGGAAGGGCTCTTTGGAAAAAAATTCAGTGTTTGGATTCTCTACCTACACTCACCCCAGGCCTGCTTCTGCTTTCTAAAGAAACTGTTTCATGGAGGTTAGGATTTAAAATTCTGGGAGTCTGACTCTTACTAGCTGAGTCATATTGGATAAATTGTATAAGTATTCAGTACCTATTTTTATTTGTAAATGGGAAAGAAAGATAACACCTCTTAGGCTTCTAAATGAGATATTGCACCACTACCACCACCAAAATTGAATATAGAAATCAAACCAAGATTAAAAAATATGAACACCAAGAAAGATAAGAGAAAACCACATGAATGCATAGCATAATGAAACTGCTATATGACCCAAAACAAAGAGAAAACATTAAAAGCAGCCAGATACAGTAACTCAAAAGAGGAACACTAAAAACAATCATAATGAAATACAACATACAAAAAAGACTGATAATACCAGTATTAGTCTATAGAGTTCATACTTTGTTGATGGACATGTAAATCGATGCAACACTGGAAAACTGCCCTGCAATACCTACTGAAGTTGAACATAAGCAAAATCTAGGATCTAATGTCATAAAGATTTTGACTCCATTTTTGATGTTGACTACTGGTAGCTTTCAGATCCCACTCTTCCCTTCTCCTCTTTTTGCTCTGCATCTACACAACTCAATCACAAAGCTCACACACTCTCTCCTTTAGTATCATGAGGAAGTTTAAAGCATACAAGTCTGGCCTGCGTGGAAGCCCTTGCCCTGTCCCCACAGCCTTACCACAATAAAAACCAGAATATCAATTCCAAGACACACACATATGTATCAGCACATTTTTTTGCCTTATTAATAAATGACTAATGGGCATGTAAAATTTTAAGAACTAAAAGTGTCCTGGTGTGGCGCTGTGGGTTAATGCGCTGGGCTGCAATTCATGCTCACCAGCCGATCCTCAGAAACTCTATGTAGGTCGTAATGAGACAGAACTGACTTGATGGCACTTAAAAATAACAACAAAAGGAACTTTTATAATCCAGTGAAAGAGATATAATGTATATACACAACAAATATGGTGGTGGTGGTTGTGTGCCGTTGAGTCGGTTCCGACCCATAACGACCCTGTACAGGGTTTCCGAGGCTGTAAATCTTTACAGGAGCAGAACGCCTCATCTTTCTCCTGCAGAGCAGCTGGTAGTTTCGAACTGCTGGCCTTAAGGTTCACAGCCCGATTCGTAACCACTACACTACCAGAGCTCCTTCACACAACAAATATATATATGTATATTTTTTGTACTTACTTGCTAGTCTGGTCGACCATTATGTGCTCTCCATTTGGAATTAATTCTACCTTATTTTTGTCCCAAGGTACCTAAAACCACAAATGAACTCAGGTAATATCTCCAAAATAATTCTGAGCAATATATCCTTAATAAAAACACCTTGGATCATACTTCCATTTCCTAAAGAATTTGTTTTTATTTTTGCCATAAAACTTTCAAAAAATGTACAAATAAGAAAACAACAAAATAATGACCATGCTATTATACAGAATGAAAAATGTTTAATTTTCAAAACATGAATTACCTGTTTTAACTGATCATATTAAAAAAAAAATCTGGAAAATTTCCATATTTCAGTATCTACTTTATACAGTATAAACCCAGTATGACAGGCTACAAAAATACCCACAAATTCCTCCTAACCTTGTGCTTATGTGCAATGTGACTATCCAGCTGTGGAGTCTAGTTTTCACCCCTTGAATTCTGGCTGTGGCCAACTGAATTGCTTTGGCCAGTGGGATCTCACATTGCAGAAGCTTGAAAAGACATGTGTGTTGGGCCTTGCCATCTCTTGTAATCCTAAAAACAGTGGCATCACTTGGGTTCGTGTCACCAATGTGGTATCTGAAAGTGTTACCCCTATAGGCAGAAACGGCTGATGAACACAACCTCTTGTGGATAGAGATATCCCACTCTCCTCAGACTCCCCAAAACTTCCCTTCTATGCCATTGGCCAATGCAGAGACACTCTTCTCTGCCTAATGGCAGATGCCATAGTCCACTTACCTGCACTATTGGGTGATGGGTAGGGAAGGGTAACAAATTATTGAGTAACACCATTGCTATGGGGGTCCTTCCCCATGCAGGACCGACACAGTCTTTGGGATCATTTTGGTGTCACCCCCTCTGACAGTGTTGTCCCTAATGCCCCTTGTGCCTAAAATTACCATGTGAAGAAGTCTACTGAAGAATAAGAGAGCAGGTTGTTCAACTGGTGCCCCATAAATCAACCAGCTTGCCAAATGCCAGGTATGTGAGGTCACTGTATATCTCCAGCCAAGCCGAGTCTGCCTAGAAACCCACAGAACCACTAAATGTTGGGGGCTATTGAGTAGAATCTAACTGGTACATCCAGCTCATGAAAAAATAAGGAAAAACTGAAAGTTTTTCACTTGTATCATTAAGAGTTTTTGTTTTGTTTTGTTTTAAGGGTGTATTTAAGTGAGCAGATTAAAGATGATCTTTGATCTGATTTTTATTGTTACTCACATCAAAATGGATATGAAAGACTTCACCAAAGTCATCTTCTTCATAATCCAGAAGTGTTTGCAAACACCTAAGGAGCAAATAATTTTGTTTTAAAAAAATAAGTAATTATGATCACTAGATAACACCATCCACAATCAATGGCAAATGCACTGCTGTTCTGAAAGTAGGAAGTTGAGTATATTTCACAGCAACTGTTTATCTATGTGCTGATAATCTAACCAAGCACAAACCTCAGCTAAAGGTGTGAGGGATTGTTTTTGTGCTTTTGTGTGTTTGGTTTTTTTTTTTTTTTTTAGATCAAGATTTGAATGAAAATTTACAGAGCAAATTGGTTTTCTATTTAACAATTCATACACATGTTGTTCGTGACATTGATTGCAATCCTCACAATGTAACAGTACTCTTCCTTAAGTTTCCCATTTCCATTCATCCTTCTTTCCTATTCCTTGCTGCCTTCTGAGCTTTATCTCTGGGTAAATGCTGCCCTCTTGATCTCAAATGGTTGATTAATCTAAGAGGCGCATAACTTCCTGGTGAGACTGTTCACATTATAGAGCTATCATTTGGATGGAAGTTAAGTCAGACGGTTAAGTTCAGTTCAAAAGCCTGAGGGGTGACTAAAGGACCACCGTCTCAGGGGTTCTACTCTATTATACCAGTAAGCCTGGTCTTTTTTATGATTTTGAGTTTTGTTCCACTACTTTAACCAGTGTTTCTCCCACCCTATCCAGGACTGTGATCTCTTTCAGAGCAGTCAGTAGTGGTAGCTGAGCACCATCTAGTTCTACAGATCTCAGGGTCATAGAGGTAGAGGGTTGCCTGGTACACTAGACTAACTATTTCCATGAGTCTTCTGTTTCCTAAACTCTTCTTTGCTTCAAACAAAGCCAATAGTTGTACCTTCGATGTCTGCTCACTGGCTTTTAAAACCCCAGTCACTAGTCTCACCATGGTAGGATACAGAATGTATGCTATGTCAACCACTTAGCTGTCCCCTGAGACTGTGGTTCTAAGCACTGCCCCACTCCCTAAATTGTGAGTTTTAAGAAGGGTATATTCAATTCTGCAGGCTCTTTTCTTGATTCTCAGTTCTCTTCTCTTAATCCTAATCTGTTTTTTCATATGTTTGTAAATTTCTATTTAGAAGAAGATTGGTAATATTTTTACTAATACTGAAATTCATTTAAACTAGTTTTATTTTCATTGACTTTTGATATTTACATAAAAATAACAGGTCTCCTGTTAAGTATCAGGGAGCACAGTGGCACAATAGGATAAGCACTTAACTGTGAACCACAAGGTCAAAGGTTCCATCTTACCAACTGCTTCACAGGAGAGAGATGAGGCTTCCTGCTACCACAAAGATTTAAAGCCTCGGAAACCCTACATGGGGTCACTATGAGTTGGAACTGACTCAACAGCACTCAACAACATTAAACATCAGATATCACTGAGGTAATGTGAGGAGTGGGTGCGTAAAAAGACCTTCTATACTTCTTGTTCCATCACTCTTCTGTTAGTTTGTTGTATTATGGTAGCTTGTGTGCTGCTATGATGTTGGAAGCTATGTCACTGATATTTTAAATATAAGCAGGGCCACCCATGGTGGACAGGTTTCAACAGAACTTCCAAACTATGAAGAAGGGGAGGCAGACTACTTCAGACTGTTTAACCACTAAAAACCTTATGAATAGCAATGTAACATTGTCAGATACAGGGCCAGAAAATGAGACACTCCGGTTGGAAGGTACTCAAGACCAAATATGACTAGGGAAGAGCTGCCTCCTCAAAGTATGTTGGCCATAATAATGTGAATAGAACAAAGTTTTGGAACCTTCATTTGCTGGTAGGGGACAACTCAAAATGGGAAGAAACAGCTATAAACACCTTTTAATAATCAGAACATGGAAGGTACAAAGTAAGAATGTAAGAAAATTGGAAGTTGTCAAAAATGAAGTGGAATGCTTAAAGATTATTTTCCTAGGCATTAATGATTCTAAATGGACTGGTATTGGCCATTGTGAATCTGACAGTTGTACAATTTACTATGCCAGGAATGAAAAATTGAAGAGGAATGATGTCATAGTCATCATCAAAAAGAACATCTCAAGATCTATACTGAAGGACAATGCTGTCTGTGAAGGATAATATCCATACGCCTACAAGGAAGACCAGATAATACAACTATTATTCAAATTTATACACCAACCACTAAAGCCAGTAATGATGATATTGAGGAATTCTACCAACTTCTTCAGTCAGAAATTGATCAAACAAGAAATCAGCATGCACTGATAATTACTGGTGATTGAAATCCAAAAGTTGGAAACAACGAGGAAGGATAAGTAGTAAGAAAATATAGACTTAATGATAAAAATCATGCTAGAGATCACATGATAGAATTTTGTAAGACCAATGACTTATTCATTGCAAATAAGTTTTTAAACAACATAAAAGGCAACTATACACATGAACCTCACCAGATAGAAAACACAGGACTCACACTGACTACATCTGTAGGAAGACACAGTGAAGAATCTTAATATCAACCAAAATAAGGGGCATACTGTGGAACAGATCATCAATTGTTCTTATGCAAGTTCAGGATGAAGCTAAAAAAATGGAAAACAAGTCCATGAGAGTCAAAATACGATTTTGAACATATCCCATCTGAATTTAGAGACCATCTTAAGAACAAATTTGAGGCATTAGACACTAATGA